GGAAACTCTTAAGAGATGTCACAAGAAATCCCCAAGCGGGAGATACCTGTGGCTCTCCAGAAGATCAGTTGTCCAAATACAATTGTATTCAATTTAGAATAGAAGATAGCATACATCTCGGTGGACTAGGTGCTAAACCTAGCAGCTAAACCTCTGTGGTTGCATCATTTTAAGAGTGAGAAGTTACACTTGTCGTTGATGTTGTCTCTGGATTGGACTGTCTTCCTTTCTTCATATTCAGTACAGGAATCTGAAGTAGATATTCAGGAAAACTCAGGTACTGGTTGGGGGGTTGTGAGGATTAAGTAGTTATTGTGCATGCTGTGGGGTCCATAGTTGATCTGAAAAAATAGGGTCCCTGCATATTGAGTCATGTACAAGTTGGGTCGCACAGTATCTAACTTGCCTATCCTGTCTTTCATGGTATTTCATAAAAACTTTATCTGTAGTCGACTTTTGCAGCCTGTCTACAACACAGTGCACCTTGCTATGGTCACTGTTTAAGTAGTCAGTCTTTAATAATGAGCGTTTTAGATCTGTCTTACTCCTGAAATCTGTAACTTTTAAATGACTCAAGAAAAAATGCCTTTTGTTTTTGCTTTTTTTTAGTTTGTTCTTGCTTGTGTTTTATTTAGGAAGCAGGTGTGAAAGGTATGATTTCCTAAGTAGGAGACTTCTTTTCACTTTCTTATGTTGCACTGCAGTCTACTATTGCAAAGCAGTTCTAAAGAGCTGTTGTGCTAAGCAGTTCTGTTGGAAATCATGTAATCAAAGTGGCAATTCAACATGACAGTTTAAGCTTCAAATGTAACAACATATGGTGCATCTCCACAGGAACACACCTGCTAGCTAGTGCATCTCAGGTACCTGTAAACTCCTTTTGGTTGTTCTCCTTTGGAAGTGGCCTTGACAGAAATTGAATGGTGAAAGTTGCCCTTGTGGGATGCTTTTAAGGTTCGTTGTTGTGCATCACTGTTGGGGAAGCCCTGGGCTTTGCTTGGTGGCACAACTTAAATTTATTTCCAATAGTGCAGTTTTGTTGACACTATTCCCTGAAGCCATGCAGGTGATGTTACCATGATATAAACAGATCTCTGCCTTAATCTCACTTTGTTTACATATCTGGTAACGTTTTGTCTTTGATGTTTCTGGTTATAATGAAGAGATACTTGTCCCTCAACTTCATCAGGTATCTGGAAGCTGCTTCTTCCACTGACCTGTGTTTGTTCTTTTTTTTTATTTCCAATTTGGATGATAAGCACAGCCATGGTTTAGAAAACTCAAATTGGATTCTAATATGTTTAGAAAAAGCTTGGTTTCCTTGGCAGGTACGATTGGCAAAGCATAAACTTACAGCTGAGTTTTCTTGTATTTGAAGTAGCAAATAGGAATTTAATAGACAGGTTTTGGTTTTCCATAGCACAAGCTGCTGTTGTGGCTGGGTAAGACGTGCTGTGAGTAGTGACTGCCCAGCCCTGGTCTGAGTGGTGCTGGGCATCCTTTCTGAAGGCTGAGCTCCCGGAGCTTCTCTAAAGGAGAAGCCAGGTCACTGAGGAGAGCTGTCAGGGAGACTTCAGTGTGAGAACCTGTAGTGTGGTTCCTTCTGGTTAGCCTCAAAGGGAGCTGAGCTGGGTCAGGTTGTCAGTTCCTTCCCTCTTGGCTTTCCTACAGGACTGCATGTAGGATTAGTAACTTCAACATTAGGTCATTTCTTCTGTTTCAAGGTGGAAGGGAAGTATCCCAGGGTTGTGGGTTTTTTTGTTTGAAGATATGGGAAAGTATAATTTGTCACAATCAGAAATGGAAATTCTTTAGATGATCCATTTCTTGGTTTGCTGTCAATTCTTAACATTGGGTTGTAATGGCCAAACTGTGTGTTTGAGGCTTTGAAGTGATGTCTTATGGCTTTTTGTAACACCGATTGCAATAGTGGAAGTTTCAAATTTGTCTTAATATATTTTCTAAAGTCAGCCATTTAGGTATTACACTTGCAAGAACAATAGTGGTGAGTTACCATCGCATTGGGCTTGTTGGTTTTAGAGTTCTAGTTTCACTAGTTGTTGCAAAAAACTATGAACGTAAAGAGGCTTTCACTGTATAAAAATTCTGCTGAGTTGTACAAATAGAGCAGAATTTTAAGTTTGTTCTAAGTGGAAAGGTTCCTGTTATGCCAGAGAGGCCTACAAGACTGGAGTGGCCTTGGGTAACTTCTGCTATGGATGCTCTCACCCAAAACAAGCTTGAAGGCATTTTTAACAGCTTTGATGAAGCATGGATGTCCTTTTGCAAATTAATTCTGCTACTGGGTGGAAAGTTGCCTTGTGTTTCAGTGCATGATGCTGATGGTTTAGTTGACTGTCACAATGAAATGTGTTACTGCAAGCTGTCAGTATTTATGGTTGGAAGGGTTTTTTGTGCTTTTCTTTTAATTGCTCAATAATTTGCTTATAAACTGTACTGTATTTGCATAAGCTTGCTGCCAGTGTATCTCTTGTGTTAATTTCTTGTCAAGCGGAGCCTGCTGGAAGTGCTTCCCATTGAGGTGACTGGAGGAGAGAATACTCTTCAGGCATGATGTTCATTTCTGGTGGAGCTTAACTGAAACTTCACACCAGTTGTGCAAAAAATAACCATATAACTGTGCTAACTGTGGTAATTATCCTATCGTATGGAGTAGAATTCAGAGGTATAGCATCTGTGCTTCTGTCAGTTTTGCTAAGAAAAAAATCAAACGATAAAATATCCAAATATATGAAAACAAAGAGTATAATATGTTCCAAATCTCAAAAGGAATTGAATGAAATTCATAGGCACCTTCTTAGCGTAGAGCTAGCATTAACATTTTTAAGTAAGCTGAGAAAAGGAAAACCTAAAACTAGAAGTAATAGTTCTACAGTCCTGGATATAGACCTAGTGCAGAGAGAAATGCTCTTGCTATCAAAATGTGTGCATCATCAGCTTTCTCTCTTCCCCTGGAATCTGCATAAACATGTGATGTGAACAAGGAAAAATGCACTTTTTCTGACTGATGAGAAATTGCATGCAATGAATCACTGTTTAAATAAGATAGTGTGAAAAGAAAATTGAAAACCAGGTATGTCTTCTGTGATTCCAGGCATTCATGGATTAGATTAAAACATCCATCTGTACCGAAATGTAACTGTAGTCAAGATTTCAGAGGAGCAGGAGAAAGCTGAGTTGTCAAATGGAACAAGTGTTTTTCTGGATTTGCAACTGTCTTGTGAATCTGCCCTGGCAAGGTTGGTTGAGAATGGGGGGGAATCATTCTAGATGTGGCTTCTTCAGTCTTAGTTTGTGTTATTTAAGTAGTGATATGTTGTCTTTACAGAGTTTAATGCAAAGTTTTTTGCTGCCTTGCAGTTTCCTCTTACGCTTTTGGGATGAAAAGCTGCTTCTAAGCACATAGCTATAGCTTTGTGTTTATTGGCTTTTTTTTTGTGTGCTTGCTGCTTTAAGTGTGCTGTTTATTTTAACTCAAAAGAAAAAATTTAGGTTATATTGTATGCTGTATTTTGACTTCTTTAAACAAGCCAGGTAGTGAAAAGATTATTCTCTTGATACGGAGTTATTATACACCAGAAAATATTATAAGTGTGCATTGAATATATGGGATTCTCTAGATATTGGCTAGCCTGCAAGAAAATTCTCAGCTTTACAGAACTGTAGGAGTTGGAAGGGATGGGATTCATCTCCTCCCTGCTAGAGCAGATTCTCTGGAGTTCTGTGCAACCCTCTAAGAAAAAAAATAAGTTTAAATACTCTTATTGACTCTTATTTATTTACTGGGATGTAGTTATGTACTGGGATGTGTGAGCAACTACAGTGTGGGGCAATGGTAGTAGCTGCTGTTTCAGGTAAAAGGAGGTGATGTGCCAGCAAAAACAAGCAGCTCTGTAGCTGCTGTAAGGGATCTGCAGCAGTTGAGGCCAGGAATCCATCTGGCTTTTTGTAATTGTGACCCTGATGAAAGATCTGGATTTTCAGGAGTCCAGCCCTTGTAAGGACTGACAGGGAGGAAGCGAGGGCATTGGTAGCTGAGTGGCTTCCAAATGCAGAGTGCATGACACTGTGTTGTAGCATATGATTCTCTTTAGTGTACTTTTAATTGAAAGTAATATTTTAATAAAAAATACTTCTGTTTGTTAATTGTTAAATTGTTGGTCATTATTGCTGACAGGATGAGAGAAAGGTGGTAGGCTCGTTTGTGTTCTGTTGTGCTCTGTGGGCTTAGAAGGAAAAATAAACACTAAAGAAACAAAGCAGAAGAGTCTACTTTTTCAAAGAAATCTTCCTGTTTGGCTGTACCCAACTTTGATTAAATCCATAAATTTGAATGTTTTTGGACAGATCCTTGACAGAGGGACACCTTCATATGTGTAAATAGGCTTAGCTTTCAGTGGGGGACCACTGCCTTCCGTTTAAGGGGATGGCCTTGATGTAGGTAGGCGAACTGATATTATTCAGGCTCCATTTTCCAGTACAGGCTTCCTCTAAACTGTGTCTTCACCTGTAAGCGTGCACCTAACTGTTCAGAAAGTCAAATTGCGTAGAAGCGGCTAATTCTAATAGTGGTGATGAATTTTTCAGACTGAAGAACTGTTTGAAGGGTGTTTACTGTTAAAGTAATTCCAGAAAGTCTGTATGGTGGTGGGGAGGAATGGCTTGTCTTTTTTTTTTTTTTTTTTTAATCCCAAACTTCTTTTGACTCAAATGATGGATTGATTTGCAATTAGTCATGTAAAGTTTTGATATGACTGTCTGGTCAAGTTTGTCACTTTACTTTAGGGGTTGTTTTCTGTCATAAAATGCAGAGTAAAACTGTTGTGGGCTTTTAATGCTTACTTCTTGAGCAGCTGTTCCTTGGAGTAAGAAACTAAATGTTACATTTGCTTATCAATGTGGTCTAGCTATTTCTTCCACAGAAACAGCAAAGCCATAACATCCCTTAATTTCTAACACTGGATGTTTTTCTCCAACAGGAACTGTTCTTATCAGAAGCAGTAATGGTCAACTGATGCTAGTATCTCAACAAGCAATAGCACGAGCACAACCTCAACCACAAAATAACACAAGTGTACGAGTGTCTGTACCTAGCAGCACACCTGCAGTGAGAATATGTGCTGTACAGGTAAATTCCCTCACAGGTTTAATTTGTATGTTAACACGGTCATAGCAGGGTTTGCAAATAAGCTGTTAAGAGTTAACTAAGCATTTGAATGTTTTCTCAGCAGTGTGATTGGTGTGTTTTGTACATGAACATCACTGTGCCTATCTTTCTGTCTTTCAAACTGCTAATTGTTACATTTGGGGTTATACAAATTAAGGAATTCCTGTCTTACAAGAAAGATGTTCTGTGTTTTTCCTTTTTTTTTTTTTTTTTTTTTTTTTAAACCAGCTGCTACCTAAATGGTTACTGCTGGTGTAACTGCAGCTTTTTGGTTTTCTGATGGGATACTTCTCTGGAGCAAAAGGAAACTGATGAGAACCTTTTGCTTTTTCCCTTGAAGGATGTTCCTTCTCATTCCCTAAACTCTGCTGGCTTTTTGCTTACATTTTTTACAATGGAAAGTAAGAGTTGATCCAAAAAAGAGGCATCTACTTAATACAACCAACATTATTATCCTTTAATCATTTTATTTTGATTAGGATTAGTGCCTAACTGTCTCTGAATATGTTCTCACATAGAAAACCAGTAGGCAGATAGCTTTGTTGGAAAGCGTTTCAAGCATATGGGTTGTATGAATGTTACTTGTCTTGTTATTTTATGAGTGGTTTATATCCAACAAGAACAAATCCTAACTTCAGGGTATGTTTTGTCACTGGCTTGTCTGACAACTGTTCTCTGCATGTGTATGAATACTGTTATTACTTTTCTTTTTTAAGAACTCTGGAACCCAGTTAATAAAGAAAGCAGTACCTACTCCTTTGAAACCATTATCTCAAACAACAAATGCTGTGACTTCTACTGTTCAGTCACCTGCTGTTATGCAGGTAGGTGGCAAGATTCATTGTACAGTGGAAGAAGTGATGGAGAGAACTGAAGAAAACATAGATGCATTCTTGTTATTTCTAACTAATGTGGTTTTCACTAAGCTGATAACTTCTGCTCTTAATTTAATTATGCTTCTGCCAGCATGTGTCAGATCATCTTCCCTCACTGTAGTAGAAAGCACTCTCACAATAGCATTGAACAATGTGTAAAATAAATAGTCTAAAGAACCATTTTCAGTGCATTTGTGCTCTGTGACTGAGCTCCTCCAAGCTCCAGCTGAAGCTTTTCTGGGGAATAGAGACTTCCTAATGCTTTTATGTTTGAGTTCCCTGATTACTTCAGGGGGTGGGGAGGAAGTATAGTTAAGAATGGTGCTGAAGGGAAAATGAGCTATCTGTACCAGTCAGGTTTTTTTTTTCTCAAGTTTGAGGTTTTGAGATTTTGTTTCCTTTTTCTCATTATAGGCTGAAGACCTCTGTTCTCCAGGTGAATTAAGTGAACTTAGTAGACAGATTGCAAAAATATGTAGATATACAATTACTGGAAATGTATTACTGTTTTTCTATTGTGTTTTTTGTCTTGTTTCTCATTAGCAGAGTGAAATGATATAGGACTCCTCCGATGAGACCATTGATACTTGTAGAATATGAGACACAGATCCAGTTGTTTCTCTGTTCCAGGGGACCACGGGTTTGGATATATGTGTGTGCACATGTGACGAAAAGAGAACTGCTTCTTTCTGTTCTGTTCTCCCTGTAGGCTGGGGGAGAAATCAGAGATTTTGTTTGTACTTGTCTTTTTTTTTTTTTTTTTTTTTTGTAGCCAAGCTGACTTGAGCAGTAGCAGTTGATGAAGCATTCAGAAAATGAGGAGAAAAAAAAATCCAATCTGGATGTATGTTCTTGACCTTGAGTGTTTGAAAGATGGAGAGATAAGTTTGCTGACAGCAGTAACTAATAGTCTGACTTACAGATTTGTCCTCCTGCTGTTCTTCTGTATTAGTAACTGAAAACTACCCACAGCTCTGTCTGTGATGTTTTCTCTCTTCCTTCTCGCTATAGGTGGATAGTATTGGAATGGAAGGGGAAGCCCAGAGACCTCTTCTAATACATTTTCTATTTCACTTAGAATTGGAAGCAATGTATGCTTCGTGTCTGTCAAGAATAACAGTGGATGTTCCTGACCTATTTTTATTTTGGATTACTAGCTTGCAAACTGTGTGCTTGTGATCTCTACACAGGGGTCTTTGGAATGTAAAAGCAAAAGTCATCTGCTGTACTATCCTTACACTGCAGGGAAGAGATGGATGTAAAGATTTTTTTTCCATTAGATGGGTGAAGCTGCATACATCCTCACCATTTAATGTGAATAAATGTTGATCATTCTGTTAGCTAATTTCACTTACATTTGTGTTTAAAAAGGTTCTTCTGTACTTTCTTGGTTCATCTTTGATGTAATCAGTTCAACTTGTGATTTTTGTGAAGTGTTTAAAGAGGTAGACAGTATTTTTGGCAAGAAAGTTTGTAGAAACTTGAACACTTCTAATGAGCATACAACTTGATTTAGGCTGCAGGAGGGATGACTAGGAAAAGTTAATACTGCTGTTTTGTTTGGAATGGCTTTCTCAGAGCATGTTTTGCACAGTATTTGCAAAATACTCTGCACAAGTCCCTTTTATAATAGAGTAAATAAGTGCAGTATGGATACACGCTATCATAGGGCCACTTCAGTGTTAGCTCTGGGGCAGCCAAAAGGAAGAGGTCTGTCAAGGGAGCCTATATGTAAGGTTGCACGAACTGCCTGTGGAAAGAAAGGAAAAGAGGCCTTGAGCCTGGCTTCCTTGGTTACGGAGTTGTTCAGAAGTTCTAAAAGAACTTGTTGGTCTTAGCCTTAGATGTTTTTTGAGGTCCAGAAGGGGAATGTTGGTGTATAAGCATGTCCTCACAAAAAGTGGGGAACATAAAAAGTTGAGATGAAATGATACTTGCCTTCATTTGTCTCTTATCCCGTTTGAAGTATAACCTGATGTACACTGCAAAACTCCCTCTGGTTGCTGACTCGAGGACTGTTCTCCTCATCTACAAAAATATTTGGTTTTGTTCCTGAATGTTTGAGCTCAGAGGTTGTACAAAATACCTGCACTTTTTAATTTTTTTCCTTCTTCCCAGATGGAATAACATGGTTGCAAAGTATCTAATTAGCGTCATGCTGGGGCACTTTCATTTAGATGCAGAGCACTTCTCTTGAAATGACTTCAAAATGTGCAGGATTAATGCCATTTGTGTGTGTGTGTGACTGTTTCTCTGTTGCTCAAAGTGAGAATGAGAATTGTCAGTAGTGTAAAAAGGTTGAGGGCAGATGACAGAAGTTAATTCCCATATACTTGTCTTCCTGGGAAAAGGGTCCGGCAGACTTCCTGTTGTTTCCTCCCTCAGCTGATAAAATACTGTTCTGGACCTGATGTGTAAACACACTGGAATTTGCAAGAGAGCAGCTCCAGCAAACCTCATGTTTTCAGTTTTTAAAAGCCCAGGGCATTGCAGCTTGACAGTTCTGTACTTTGTCCCCTTCTGTCTTCCTTCCTTCCATCTGTTTGTGGGATTCTCATGCCCAGTTTGCCTCCCTGTGGTCTTAGAGCTGATGAGCTTCATCCTTGGAAGAGGCAGTGGTGGTGGCAAAGATCCTGCAGAGAGCTATTAAAGTGTTATCAATGGTGGGAGCCCAAGCTGGAAAGCTTTCTGGTAGCTGACTGCTTCTTTCATATCAAGCTTGGCAGCACTTTGTGGGGGAGCAGGATACACCCAGGAAAAAGAAAATTTAACAAAAGTGCCAGTGTTTTGCTCTAGCTTTAAGCATTTGCTCACTAATTTTCCCTGTCCTGAAATATTTAAAAACACGTTGATATTCTACACATGTTCTGTCCAGTTCTGATTTTTTTCTTTTTTTTTAATTGATGATGAGGTAAGTTGGGCTCTTGCATTACCATCTTATGACTAACTGTCAATTAGCAGTGTGATTGCTAAACGAAGGTGATGTTTAAATGTATTAGTAGTCAGTGAAAGCAGCTGTGTTGGGCAGATCTGAAACATGAATTTGACCTACAAAACAGCCTTTCTTTTGAGACTTTTGGGGAAAGGCTGGAGGAAGAAACAGTACCTAACTGCAGGCTTCAAATGCTAAACTCAACCTTTGCTTGTTTCTGTATTCTATGGCTTCAATCTGTGGCTTTTTAGTAGGCAACTTGAGAAAATAAAAGGAGTGGGGGACAAAATCTTACTTGTGTTATGTTGTATTAGAAGAATGATGTGACTGGATGTTTTTCATTCTAATTAGACCTGAAATAGAAATACTCATGTTTAGTAGGTTTTCTTTGGCAACTAGTATTTTTTAGCCTAGTTTGCAAAGGAGAAAGGCATTTGTGTGTTGTTTTTTCTAAGCCTTCACGACTCTTATTCAACTGGAGCTTCTGTTTCGTTGATAGATAAAGAGATTTGAAAAGATTTGAAACTCATACATGAGTTTTGACAGGGTTTGTGTCTTGATGAATTTGAGACAGTTTGACATTGGTCCCCATGAAGAAAAAACAGGAAGAACTACTTAGGTGCTTTTGTTCATCTGGTTTTTGCTGGTGCATCCTTCCAAAATGGACACGACACTTTTCATCTGGTGCCTGTGTGATAGGAAACATAAGGAATATCACAAATGGGAAGAAAGGAACATAAATAATTACCTAAAGTTGTATTTATCTTCATAGTACTGTCACTTGGCTTAGTATTAAATTGATTAGTCTTAAACTACAGAAGCCTGGCAAAGTTTGAACTTTGGTTTTGAACTATGTGTTTCTTCACGACTACTTTTTCTTCTCCTTCACTTGAAGTTACAGGCACTTTTTTTAATATTGGTAAGCCTTTGTCCTTCCCTACCACTCACAGACTTAAAAACAGGTTGGCTATGGAGGTTCTGTGACTTAGAGTATTAAATAGTCTCTCAAAGGAAAAAAGAAAAAAAAAAAATCAAACTTCTGAAAATAAAGATAAGATTTGTTCATTTATGTTTTAAATAATAATCTTGAGTGAGGAGGAAGGGTGCTACGTAATATGCTAGCAGAATATAGCGTGTGTTATTTGTGCTTGTCTTTGGTTTCAGAAGTGTTAAATTTTTCTTTTCAGCCAGCAGCTGCAGCAGCTAGTGTTACTGCAGTTACTGCTGTAAAGCCTTTGAGTACTGGAACACCTGTAAAACTTCCAGTTACAGGACCACCTGCACAATCCATCTCCCAAATGGCAGTCTCTGTGAAAGCAGAGGGCACAACAGTAGCACAGACCAGCACTTCTACAGTAAGGAAAAAAAAAGTTTTTAATTAAAAATTAACATTCTCTACATTCATCAGAGGTTGGAGAGCCAACTTGACATCTAACAGTCTTTATTTCCACCATAGGAGATGCTAGAGAATGTGAAGAAATGCAAGAATTTCCTTGCTACGCTAATAAAATTGGCATCTAGTAGTGGACCTCAAGCCACTGAGATGGGGCAGAATGTGAAGAATCTGGTGCAAAATCTATTGGTGAGACTTTTTTTTTTTTTAAAGCAAAGTCTGACATTTGTATATTGATCTTATATTGATCTTAATTTTGACTTCATAATTTTGTTTCTTCTCTTTCTACTTGTGTTGGTGTGTTGTTTTCTAAACAGCTCGAGTTGTGGTAGAGTACATCAGATCCTCCAAAATATTTCATTATAATGTGCATTTTAAATGGATTCCATACTGTAATTTCCCCTCTCATTCCAATTTCATTTTATGCACACAGGTAACTGTGACAACAGAAACAGTGTATTGTTTTTATGTAGTTTTTGGGTCTGAGCTAGACTACATTAGTGTAGGTTTGAGTTCTCAATGGCAAGGGTTTTGCTGTGGTGATTGTAGTTCACTACTGAGTCTCTATTACTCCAGGACTGAACTGAGTTGCACACTGATGGTGAAGCTTCATTGAAATGAGTGTGAAATTACCTATGTCTTTAGACAGTGGGATGGAGAAAATAATGTGATGGCTTGCCAGCCTGTCTGCTTGCCTAACTAATATACTGAATATAGTATCGGAATGCAAGATAACACACCATAATACAATATAATCAGAATTGAAGCTAATAAATCAAATATAATGAGAGAGAGAATGTGTGAAAGGTGGATAGGCCTCACCATAAAGCTGAGGTGAGATGTGCAGTCCAGTTGAGCAGCAGGGAGACGGGAGGAGAACCGACGAAGAGCAGACGAGAAAGAGCACATCAGGTGACCTTGCCAGGAGTTGTATCTCCTCTCCCCTGGGGAATGTAGTTGTTCTTCTCTTCTGGGCAGGTACCTGGGAGTTGAGCATTAACTGTTAAACTCCCAGTGCCCCACATGATGTTATGATTTGGAATACCAAAACCAAAAATCACAAAACCATAACACCACTTTAGCAGAAGGATATGTGCTGGTAGAGGGAGATGGTTTTGCAAGGCGTACTGAAGGAATTTCTTAGTCTAGAAAGGCATAGTGTAGAAAGAGGTGTAATTTGAGAGAACAGATTGCTTTAAGATGCAGCCTTGCAAAAATCTTTGATTTCCCTTCTCCCACTGCCTTTTTCTTTGTCCCTGCTGGACTATACACTGCAATTCCATTGGAGCATGCTAGAATTAATCCTTGTTGTGCTTACAGTGCTTTTTATAAAGAACAGTAATTACCAGCCATTAATAAATTGTTTAACTGTGCATTTGTTTGCTTTTTGCAGTATTTTTAAAATGCTGTTTTTCTGTTATTCAGTATGTGTGTATGGTGTGAATGCAGAATAAATTAATGTTTCATATGCATAGGGGAAACACGTAAACAGCAGCTGTGAAGTAAAGTGGTCCTCAAGGCAGCATTTCATGGAGTGGGTGTCAAGAACCTTAATGTGCACTGAGATGTGCTGTACCAAATCCCTGCAGTTGTATCAGTGGGACCTCAGTGACCTGTATCCACAGCCAGACAGGCAGCAGATCCAATGACAAAAATTGAGCTGCTTGAAGTTCTGTTCTTCTGTGAACACATGGTCCTTAAGCCCCCTGCTCTGACCACGTAGTTGTTCTGTGGGAGGATAGAGGCGAAAGGCATAACTTCTCTGCTGACTTCTCTGGTTTGTTAAGAGGGCCTCTCTGCCTGCTGTCTTCTGTACCTTTCTGAAGGAAGGAAAGATCTCACCTGGCAGGGTGAGCAGTAGCCACCAGTCTGAGGCTGCATGCCACTTCATCTGGGTTGCTGGGGCACTGAACTATAAGGGGGTCACAGGAGTCTGCTGCAGCTTCCTAACCTGAAGCCACTGAAATAGGTGTCTGTGGCAGGAAGAGTAAAGAGCATTGAAGAGACTGATTGAGAGGACTGTTACCCTAATGGTACGCAGAAGTGATGTTCTGATCTTTCTCTTTTTTTCAGAAAGAAACATTAAGTTTTACACTTTATTATGCTTTCGTGAGCATTAGACTGGAATCATTTTACAAAAGCTATGGAGCTGTCTTTTGTCTCCATTCTACATAAATTTTGATCCTCATGCTGATAAACTACCTTTATAGCAATAAGTACTCCTGATGGATTTTGCGTATTTCTGCATAAAAAATGTACTCAAAAGGATCAATGTTACTTATAAATTTGTTTCTTTTGATTCACTTTAGTGAATATTTGAACGGATATCCTCATGTGTATTAGCAGCTGCAGTGTCTGTGGGTAAACAAAGAAACTTAATTTTCTAATACTATATCTAGATTATAACATCAGTCTATCCTAAAATGCTTTCTTTAAACATACAGGTGGAAAGAAGTATTTGAGTACTGAAAGTGAACAACATCATGATAGTGTAAACTTTCGTGAATTGTTGATACACCTGAAAAAAAAAAAAAAGATTCATACCTTTGAATTACTGTTGCAATTATACTTTTCTCTTAGGAAGCAAAAATTGAACCAGAAGAATTTACAAAGAAACTGTATGTAGAGCTCAAGTCTTCTCCACAGCCCTATTTAGTTCCTTTTCTCAAGGTAAGTGTCTGATTGTGGATATAAAGTATTTAGTTGGAGGGGAGGGCGGAGGATCAGAAAATGTTTTAATTGCTTTCAAATTGTTATTTCCTCCAATCAGTTGAGGAAATGGTGCTTAGCCAAGCTAATGCTGTGCGACTGCTGCGCTTGGACAGACAGGGGTTTTTGTGGGGGGATTTCAGAAGAATTACCTTCAGCTGTATTCTCAGGTTGGAGAGTAATTACAGTTATTACTGGAGATGAATCTTTTGGAAGCATACATCTACAGTAGAACAGTTACACTAAGATGACCTTTTACTTGCTCAGCAAAGCTGTAGTTGCTTTGAATTCTAATACAGAAGAGCGACAACAGAAGCTGTTTTGCAGTATTTAAGCTTAAAGAATCTGCATAACACTGGCATTCTGTTGTCTGCTGGCTTGTGTTTAATTGCAGACAGTTGTTTTGCTTTTTTTAAAAAAAAAGTTCTCATTTCTCCAGAAAGTTTCTGACAGGGTTGCTGCAACTTAGAGAAAGTAGTTGAGGATAACTATCTCCATTCAGGGAAATAATTGTATAAATAAGAAAATCCTTTCTTCTGTGTATGTGCCTACCATACTTTTTAATCATATGGTAGAATAGTTTATTGACAAAACAAAAAATGAATGTCTTTGTCATGTAACAACCACTAAATCCCAGCAAACTTGGGAAACTTCATTATATTTACTTAATTGCAACGTACAGTGTTCTTAGCACTGATAGATCTGTACTTCCTTGACATTCAGTATAGGCACAGTGGTGCATCAAGGAAGAATAGTTAAGTGGTGCTTTCTTAATATTTGACGGTTCATACAACAGTGATCTTGCAATGTTGTTACTGCTTTGGGTACATAGTGCTGATCTGTTCAGGTATGGGGTATTTCTGTTATAGTGGCAGCCTTCAAATGCTTTGATAGTAAGTTTGCTAGACTAGAAGGCTACAGTATTCTAGTAGAAGCTGTAGAAGCTAGCAGAGCTGTTGGAAGAGATCCAGAAGAAGGCCATGAGGATGATCGGAAGGCTGGAGCAACCACTCCTAGAAAAAAAGGCTGAGTGAGTTGGGTTTGTTCATTCTGGGAAGAGAAGGCTCCAGGGAGGTCTTCTGGCCTTCCAGTACTTAAAGAGAGCTTATTACAAGGAGGAAGACTGACTTCTTACATAGGTAGATGGTGATAGGAAAAGGGGATAGTTTTAAATTAAAAGTGAGGAGATTTAGATTAGATTGTTTACTCTGAGAGCAGAGAGGTGCTGGCGCAGCTGCCCATGTAAGCTGTGGTGCCCCATCCCTAGAGATGCTCAAGGCCAGTTGAATGGGGCCCTAAGGCAGCTGAGCTGCTGGGTGGCAGCCCTGCCCATGTTATGGGGTGGAACTGGATGGGCATTAAATCCCTTCCAACCTAAGTCAATCTATGATTCTCTGTTAGATTTAATAAAATTATTATTATTTTTTTTTTTTTTACTCTGTCTAAATTCCCGGTGTTTCCTTATAAAAACTCAAGGGCAACTCAAAAGGCAATTCTCCCTTTATCCTATTTGCATCATTATGACATATTGTAGTTTTTCATGTTAACTTTCTAGAATAATATGTGCAACAATTGCAGCACAGAGTACTCTGTTACTTTTGGACAGCTTTATCCTGGCGTCAGAATGACCAAGCTGTGCATGCAGGGTCAGCACAACTAACAAAGCTTTTCTTTGAGCTCTGGTAGCTGCCAGGGCAAGTTTGGCTTTGTAAGTAATGTGTCTGCCTTCTGCAGGGCCCTGGCTAAGAATCCCTGCTGGACACTAGCTGTGTTCCCAGAGCAGTGTGGAGGAATCTCAGTATCACTGCAGAGCTCTAGCCTGCATCTGGCACAGCCAGAACTCAGCCTGGAGGTAGCAAGCTCCCTGGACCAGCTCATGCCTAAGAACCAGGGAGCTGGTGCATTGCATTTGCTAACACTTCTACGACCCTTTGAGTTCCTCAGATGTTCATTAGTTTACATGTAGCTTTGTCCTCATGTGTTGATGTAAATGCTTATCCCGAGTTAATAAGCTGTCCCACAGTGTGGGGAGCAGGTCAGTTTTGGTGTAAGGACCTCAGGGCAGTTCCATGGGACTTAAATTGACGTGTGTAAGGCCTGGGCTGGTGTCACACAGAGCTGCTGTGTGCTCTCAGGTACCACGTAGGTTTTTCTGCTTTCAGCTGTATCCACATCCCTGTAATCCTTAATGAGGTACCCTCTCCCAGTTGTACACTATGTTAACAACAAAATACTGTGACTTCAGCATTGTTCAAGCACAATGGTTGAATTTAACTGATGTCATAGCATTACCCATCCCTTAAAGCATCTTGTACCCTGGTTGCTTTTTCTGACATGCCTTAAGGCTATGTAGCACAGACCAGGCTTGCTTGGCACGTCCTGTGGGCAGCTGCTATGGGACTGAGTGCCAAATGGCAGCTGACTTCACAGGCACTTCTCTTCACTGCCGACCTTGTTTGGGGGAAACACTTGTGTCTCAAGTCTGGGAAGAGGTTTGATAAGGGTTGTTGCCAACTCATTTTAGCTAGTAAAGTGGAATTTTGGGGAAGGTTCTCTGTCCTTATCTTTTGAGCTGCGGCTTTCGATGCAGCTGTTGCATGTATTTTGTTTCACTGATTCCAACAGGTTGAAAAGAGCATTGACTTTGGCTGCAGTGCCATCTTGATGTTCATATCTGTGCTGGATGCTTTTCCTGAATAAACTGCATCAGGAACATTAGGAAAGTTAAGCAATCCTTTAAAAGATGAGGAAGCAAACATTAAAGATAGAAGTGCTGTAGAAAGCCCAGATGTACAAAGAATTTGCTCACTCAGTATATTAGCAAGACATCACGTTTCTGTTGTATGAAGCCCAGAGCAACAGTACTATGCTGGAGACATACAAACTTCAAAAATTGTCAAGGGAAAAAAGTTTTTGTGTGAATATGCTGGTAGCTGTAGAAATTATTTCTCCTGATTCTGAGCCATAACAGATTGTAAATAGTCAAGGAGAAAATCTATGGAGGGCATGAAGATTATTCTGTCCATTAACCTTCTCAAACATAGCTGTACTAAAAATGAGATGTTGCCAGATATCTTTACTAATGTTCTTGAGCTGCAGAAAACTTAGCTGGCTTAAGCTATGCTGCTGCAGCTATTCAGACATTAGTAAAGTGGTATCCCCCCCTAGTGTAGATACAGCTGTATTGGTGTACAAGTGCTCGCATCGTCAGGACTTGCTTCTGATCTTATTGGATGATTTGTAGCTCTCTGTTGAAGAAGCTAAATGGAGTAAACACAGCTGTTATGATATAGCAGACTTTTTTTTTTTTGGCAAAATGAAAAATGTTGAGATAGAATAGTTCAATTGGTCTTATTCTGGAGCATAAATTGCACATTGAAACATTCTAAACAGAAGAAACTTGGAAACAAATGTCTCCATAGATACTGTTTGCACCCAGGTACTGAAGACACGGTGACTGTTGTCGTTATTCAACCTATGTTGGTGATTCTTAACTTATCTCCATCATTTCAAGAATACTTGTGTTTCTTCTATGAATTCCAGCAAAATATTTTGTTTGGAATAATCAGATTATTTCCTGATGTTAAGAAATTAAATTGGAATGTGAGGAAGTGGGTTCAGTTGCTAATGTAATATTCGCTATTGTTGAAGACTCTTCTAGTGTTTTTCTGTTGTTTTTTTCTTTTTGTCTTCTAGAAAAGTATGCTTGCCTTACGGCAGCTAATGCCAAATGCTCAGAGTTTTATCCAGCAGTGTATGCAGCAGCCTGCTCCGACCCAAGAAGCCGTTTCAGCTTGTACTTCTGCACTAACTCCTTCCACAGCAGTGGTAACCTCACCTGTAGCAACCAATTCTCTTCCTGTTATAAAACCAGTGTCTGCCTCCACAACAGTCACAGCTGCTCCTGTTATAAAACCAGTCCTTTCCAGTGCATCAGTGACAGCCTCTCTGCAGGCTATGAAGCCTGTTCCTGCATCTGCAGTGGTGACAGCCTCTCTTTGTCCTGCACCTTCTGTCCTCACCACAACAATATCGAAATCAGGGCTCACTGCTATCCAAACTGTAAAGCCAGTCTTTACCTCTGCAGTAGCAACATCATCTCTCCAGTCTGTAAAGCCAGTGCTCGTCTCTACAGTGGCATCCTCAGCAGCAACCCCTCTCCAGCCTTTGAAACCTGTCATGGGCACCCCCATCAGTATTAAAATCTCACAGCCCAACTCCATCGTTGCACAGCCAGTGGCCACTCAGCAGGTGGTTAAAGTGAAACAGTTGGTAAGATTAATTTCCTCTATAACTGGGCTTCTTTTATTTGACTCTTAACATTTTGTCAATTTGCATCTTAGAAGTGTTCTTTTGTCGTATGAAGCTAGCCTGTCATGAGTTAACCAGTTCTGAGATAGTTGTGGATGTTGTGCAGTTGTTGAAAAGGTCAATCTAAAGCCAGACTGTGAGGTCTACTGCAAGATGTACTGACCACTGTTCCACCAGACTGAGCATCCAGATTGAAACGTGAGAGAACATGTGTTTGGACTCCTGGTGTGCATGCAGCTGTGCTAGTTTGGTATATGAAAGAAAAGGCAGGAAATGCTTGTGTCAGAAAAAGAAATTGATGGTGGGATCCTTATGTTAATTACTATCAGATGCCCTGTGTGGGCTGTGCCTGTGTTGACCCCCAAGGATTCCAGTCTCCCTACCTTTATAGACACTGCACTTTTCAGAAATAGGTGACTTGATGATATGTAGTGATACACTAACTGAAAGGTATGAACTAGCTCAAGGAGCTTTTCAGAGGAGAATTCTGACCCCCACTTTTACTAAGATATGTTAGTCATAATGCCATCCAAAGTTTATTTTTTTCTATTAGGCCTCAATAGGTAACAAATTCCAGGAGGAATAGACGTGTTAAAACAATACTCCTGAAAACAATGCGTTAACATTTCTTCTTGGCATAGGTTAACTTCTTATGGATGCTAATGGTAAATATCAGAAAATGTGGATCCACTGGTATATGTCCAACAGAGCAACGTTGTGAAATAAGTTAGATTTTGAGATAATGAGGAGTCTGTTGTGTAAGTTTACCTGCATGGAAAACTGGGAGAACAGTCATCTTTTGGCAGATAAATAACTTCTTGTATAGAACTTCCTTGTAAAAATGTGTTCCTTCAAACAAAGGGAAAATATGCTTCCTCTGAAGCTAAATTTGCTTACACCAGGTGTAGTAGTATAGTACTGTGTGAATTTCCATTGTAGTTTGTTTATTGTATATTCTTGATTTAATAGTATTCAGATTCACTGAAGTACTTTGTATTTGTTTTCTTCCTTTCCAAGTGTGTAAGGAAAATATAATATAGGAATTATTCTTAGTGAAGAACTAATTCTACCAGGTTTTCACCTCTTCAGACTTAATGAAGAGCAAAATATTGAACTATATAGGGGAGGATCCTTTTTATGAGTGTTTTTTAAAAAAACTAAGCAGTAACAAACTTGGATAGTAGTAGCTAGAGCCAAATTGGAAAAAGAATTGGTACCTTTTCTTCAAGGACTAAATTTGAAATTCCAGCCAGAAGAAAATGAGAGCTGCTTAGGCTGTACAAAGGCTGGAGAACGTTTGTTGGCTCCATGGTAAGGCATGTAATTCAGGGGAAAGATTGACCATCTGTACAACTAGATGAGGAAACGTAACTCTGCACTGGGGAGTTAAGATGCTTTGTGAATACAATTTTGTTGAACCCACAAAATGACTTCTGCCTCCTTCGATGCTGCAGCGTGGCATCCTTAATGAATTGCTTTTCTTTATTCTGTGTTATAAACATTGACTTAAATTACATAAAATATAGAGCATATTTTAATCTAGTTTAAGTAGATCCCAACCATAGCAGTTAAAATAATTTCTCTTAAAAAATGGTGTTTAATTTTGGTCTTAGATGTAGCTGAAGGGTTTAGTTGACCACTGGCAGCTCAGCCATATCAGGATGCTGGTGTTTGTTCAGGCAGCCAGTAAGCACAAGGAGCAAGCTGGTGGAAGTAGCTGCATTTTCTAGGACTTCCCTGATGCTTTGTCTTTTAAAAGGAAGAGGGTCTGCCCGTTCCCACAAGAAAACAAATCAGGATCTTGCCTCCCTAAAGAGAAGGGTCCTGCTGCCAACTGAAAGGAAGCACATGCCAGCTGTGCAAATCTGTCCATGCAGTGCTGCCAGCAATTTTTTTTCCTTTCTGGCCCTCAGGGTTGTCTGATGCCATACATTCTCTCTGCATGTCCGCTTCTAATTTGTCTTTCTTGTGCTCAAGGAATTTAAGGGAGCATCTTCTGTGCATTCATGTGCCAGTTCTATTGTAATGTCATTGATGCTTCAGATTTCAACACTGCAGTGATTTCGTATTAAAACTGTGATGGGAGTGATGCAGCATGCAGCTCTTTCTTTTCTGGAACATGATTATCACAACTCTCTCTATGGTGGACTCTGAGGGATCTGCTCTTATGGGATGCTGTTGGAACTGGATTGAGTGTCTGTGCTGCCTTCCCAGCAGCTGCACACTCTGCAGGTTACCCTCCCTGTGACTTCTTTCCTTAATGTAAACTAATTAAGTGCATTTGTTAGCAAAGATTTTTCACCTGAGAAATAAAGTGTCTTGCCATAGCATTGCTTTCTCTCAGTAAAACATGGTAAATCAAAGTTTGTTACCAGCTGCTGACTTCTAATAAAACTGCAACTTAAAGCATTAAGAACAAGAGCTTCGTGGTGCAGTCCCCGCAGCCACCGGTAAGGTGTGCTCACTTGCTACTGCTGGTGGCTGAAGCTCAGGTCTCTCTCAGGCAGCTGTTTCTGAGCTGTCAGCTGGGTGTTGAATTGCACTTTAAGTGTTGCTGCTCTTTATTCTGATGTCTCTGTCAATTTCCTTAAGGAATACTAACCTGAAGAAAAAAAGAGACAGTAACTCTTTTTCTTATAGATATCTCTTTCTGTAGAATTTTAGTTACTGGCATTAGATCCTTGTTGAAATTTCTAGAATTGTTACCCTTTGCTGGTTCCAAGGACTTTCAGCTTTTGCTAGCCTAGCGTCTAGAATGGCAGACAAAAGCAGCTTTACTGCCAGTGCATCCTTTCTAGTTTCAGGTTGATCTAGTCTCATCAGTCACTTGATATATTTTTCCAGTCTCCATCTAGGCTATTGATTTAACATTGCCCATCTGTTCTTTTGTCTGCCACACCTTAATCTTGAATACTTATGCTTCCTCCTGTGCTGTTTCAGTTTTTTGTATGCTGAAGATGAAGCACCATGCTCACTGACGGTAGGGAAGATCTCTAGGTGCCTGTCAGTATGGACGCTGGCAGATCCTGTGAGTAGTTTGTCCAAGCTGCTTGGTTGTTCAGTAATTATCTGAACATATAAATTGTGTTCTTAACGTTTTTGACTTCCAGCGTACAGGAGCTGGATCTTTTCAGAAAGATCAAATTGTGTCTTGGTTAAAAACAAATAGAAGCAAACATTAGTGTCTGTACTTGTTTGTGATGAAGTGCTCTGTGTGTGAGACTTTGTCCACAATCAGTGTCTGTATTCCTATGGTTGTTTCATCTGCATAAAAACGTAGAGAGATATGCATCTTGTGTTTTTTCCTCGAGAATGGTGTGTTCTTTGTCTAGTTTTTGAACACCACCTTCAGCTCAGTTGTTCTACATTACCACTGTTTTGTCAAATCATGATGCTATAAGCAGCATATTATAACTGGAGCTGTTGGGCAGTGTACCTTGACATCTTCAGATGCAGAGCACATTTTCTTGTGAACATGTGGTTTTCTGGTGCTCGTGATGTTTGCTGATTAAATTTGAAGTTAGTTGGCAGAAGGAGACAGTCTAATTTCTAAGAGCAATAAATGTCAATTCTTCACATTTAATTCTAAACTTGTATAGTTTATTTAAATACAAACACTGCTTGAGCATTCTTTAGTCTTTCTGAAATTAGACTTAAAAAGCAGAGAATGTGTTTTCTCAACCATTTTTCTGTTGACTTCTTGCCTCTAACCAGCTAGGATTCAATCTGAAAACGTTAGTAATTTTGGTAACTTTTAATCCTTGGTGAAAAGGTCTTTCTGCAACTTGTAATTAAGAGCTTTTGCAGAGGATATATCAAAAGCTGCAGTCCATGTTTCTGCTGGCTAGGAGCCTTGGAAATGAAGCTTTGGGGATATCACTGTTGCTTTCTTGCATTTTAATGGTTACCCCTGAAGAGGAAGAATTAGTATTTACAGGCTGTGCCTTTAGGTCTGTGTTGTGATGACATCCTGCTGTCAGGTTGTGTTTCTTTCAAGAGCCTCTTTAAACAACACTATCAGCCCTTCCCTTTTTACCTTTCAGCAGTGTACTACTGTTTTTGCACAGAGGCAAACACCTCAGTACAGGTGTTGTTAGTTAGTACTTATGTTCCATCTAACTGGTGCATTTCATGTACTTTTGTTTAACAATTCAAAACTTGGCATCTCAATTTACAGTTGACCTTCCAGCTCCAAAAATGCGTCAGTAACTTCATAGTCTGTACTCTTCACTAAAGGAAAGGAATTTCATGCAAGGCTTCTGTTTGTTTTGGTGATTTTTATTTTTTGTGAAACTAGATGTGTGTGATACCTACTGTTTTGAGCTTGTTGGCAGGCAGTCTCAATATTCAATTGGTAGCCTGTTAAGAAAAACTTAGGAAAGGTTCTTAGCGTAGCAGACTGTAGAATTCAGTGAAATTTTCCTGATATAGCTACTGAGAGTAGGGATGAAATGCCTGTTAGAGCTTGCTGAATAAGCTTTAAGCTCGACACTAGTCATTAAGATTTTGTTTCTTGACTTTAAAGTTGAAAGTAATTTTTCTTTGAGCATGCTGTTTTTTATAAACTGAGAGCTAGGCATACATGCATGCCCTGCAGCACTTCTGATGGAATGAACATGTTGATGCTATCTAGCTCTCTGTATATTTGTTTCACTCTTTTCACTCTTCATATTTGTTATCCCACTTGCAGGTAGTCCAACAACCACCAGGAACCATAGTGAAGCAAGTATCCACACTTCCACAGTCCTCAACACTGACTCTTCAGACACCTGTTGAGAAGAGAATGCCACTGAATACGCTTGTTCAAACAAACCAATTTCCTGCTGGTATGGAGAAACTTTCGTAATGGAGAAGGGCGAACACTACTGAGGTGTAAAAATAAGTGTGGGCTGTTGGTAGATTGCAGGGAAGTAAGAAGGTGTTGTATATTGGGGCATTCAGTTCTGTTTTAGGAATCCCGATAAGAAGCTCAGCACCATGTCCAGTTCTGTTGCCTCCATAGCAATTTAATTTTTAAAATACTGTAAGATCCTTGCAGTAAACTTTCTTTGAACTGTCATAATCTTGAGAATTGTGTCAAGAGACTTTTTCCTTCAGCAGATCCAGGTTGATGCATAACATAAGTTTTTGTCACAGCCAACAAGTTTTCACTTAAACCTCTCACTCAGAAGAACAGAGGAGGGTGTTTGAGAGTGTAGGATTTTTTGGCCTTACAGAGTGTAGCACTTTAGAGTGTCTGGTTTCCTGGTTGTTACTGAGTCTGCAGTACCTTTGTTAGAAGTATGAACTGATTAAACAGCATTAAAAAGCATTTTGCTTTCTACTATGGCATGTTCTTTGTTTTGTTTTAGGCTCTGTTCTGAAACAAGTTACCCTGCCAGGAAATAAAATTCTGTCGCTTCAAGCGTCTCCTCTTCAGAAAATTAAAATAAAAGAGAATGGAACAACATCCTTCAGGTAAAAATAAACAATATAGTTTACTACAGGAAGGAACAAAAGAAACAGCACATATAGAAGAGGGAATAGAGCCCAGATAAAAGCAGCTTTCTTTAGAGACTTATGATTGGTGTTTTTATCTTATAATATAAATTGTCAAACAGGAATCTAAGAACTCAGACCTTGTAGTAGATCTTATTCCTAATATAGGATAACTGTCTCAGTAAGTTAGGGTTTTTGTTGTTATTTCAAGAGTGTAATTACCCAAACGGTGTACATCAATATGTATCAGTTTTTCATTTGTAGAGGAGACATTGATCTTGATCCTGTGAGTACTGCTAACTAAAGTTACCATGTATTAAAAGCTCTCCGTAGTATTAAGTCAGATATAACTACTACTTCTTATGGACAGCCAGATAGCATTGAGCTGCAATTTGGACTGGCTAGCAACCTGTTTAAAGCTGTGTGCTGTACTACATATCTTTCATTAACTCTTCATGCAAGCTTGTTCCTACATGTAGAGGTGGAACTCTTTGACTACACCTCTAATTGTGGCTTCTGGCATGTTCTCTAGGCTTTCAGATTTGAAGAATGCTTAAAGCTTCTAGTTCTAATAACTGATTAACTTTTTAAAAGGAGAAATGATACTTTTTTTGTAGCTCTAGAATCTAATGTTGAAATAGTAATAGGCTGCCATCATTATGCGTTATTAGCTTTAAGACTTTAAGGCAAACTTGAAGTTAGTCTTCCAGAAGTAAAAGCAGACATGGCACCTTTGTGCTTTTCACCCATTGACTTCTCATTGTTTGAAAGCTATGGCTGTGTGTGTTCTGATGCATACCCAAACAAAAACAAATAAAAACAAACAAACAAACAAAAAACAGCCAACAAAACGCCTGATAAATATTTCAAAAAGCAAAACCCAATCCTCCCTAGGAATGAGATTTTTCTGTGCTCCTCCAGTAAAAAATAAATTAACTTTCTAGGATGAAGAAGTTTGAACTGAGTTTCTTGAGGTTCTATCTTGTCAGGTTTTTAGAGTATTTAGAAAAAACTGTGCTTCTGCAATGTGATCCAAGATGGATTTCTGCTCTGCTGGACTATGAATTTGTAATTAGCTGAAGTACTCAACAACTCAGGTTTGAAATCTCTAGCTTAACCTACTCTCTTCTAATAGATTTCTCATCCCTGAAGAATTTATCTCTTCAGATATCTTCTCGATCCTTGTACTCACCAATGCAACCAAGCAGGCCTGGCATCAGATGGCATTATTCTAGCCTTGACAATAGACTTTCCCCATTGAGTCCTGAAGTAGTTTGCTCTCTTCTGTCATTTATTATTCCTAGCAAAGCTAATTTTCCTGGTTTATGATCCATCAGCCAGCTGATGAATGAGGTAGAGAACACGATGGCCTCCTTTCAGGTTTTGTGATGGGATTTGTTATGGACAGAGAGCATGTTTTTGTAACTGATGTGATACAGGAATTTCCTGTATTTTTGGTTGTGCCTGTTACAACCCCTTTTCCCCTCACTGTGCACTGACAAAAAGAGCCTGTCCCCATCTGCTTGAGACATGGCCATTAGGTGATAAAATCCCCTCTCTGTCTTCTCTTCTCTAGGCTAAACAGTCCCATGTCTCTCAGTCTTTTCTCATAAGGGAGATACTCCTTAATCTTCTTCGAACCCACTGGACTCTCTCTAGAAGATCCCTGTCTTTCTTGAGCTGGGGAGATCAGAACTGGATGCAGTACTCCACAGTGTTTCTTTTTTGATTGCTAGAGATGAGAATGGGAAGGGGTGATTTTCTTGTTTCAATTTTGAAAAGTCTTCCTAGAAGAAGTAAGATTTCAGCTAACCGTGCACATCACTGAGAGTTGGTTGTCCTGCAGAATGCACTGTAAGGAGCAGTCTGGTTTAAAAGCAAACATCAAGAGTTTTATAACTGTTCTACTTATCTGGTAAAGTATCCCAGACTCATAGAATGGCTTGGATTGTACGGTGCTCAAGGATTAAGTTCCAACCCCCCTGCTACAGCCAAGGTTGCCAACTTCTAAGTAAAGTACTAGATCAGATTGCCCAAGGTCCCATCCAGCCTGACTTTAACTACCTCTGGGGATGGGGCATTTATAAACTCCCTGGGCAACCTGTTCCAGCACCTCACCACTCTCAGTAAAAGAAAAACAAAAACCAACCAAAACACTTCCCCCTGACATCTCATCTAAATCTCCCTTGTGTTAATTTAAAACCATTCCCCTTTATCCTGTCACTGTCTACCCATGTAAAAAGTTGATTTCCTTCATATTTGTGAATTTCCTTTAAATATTGCAGCCTGTCTTCATAGGGGAGGTGCTCCAGCCCTTTGATCATCTTCATGGCCCTCCTATGGATGCTTTCCAAAAGCTCCTTATCTTTCCTTTGTTGGGGACCCCAGAGTTGGACATAGTGCTCCAACTGAGGCCTCGTGAGGACAGAGTTGAAGGGAACAATTGCCTCCCTCACCCTTCTGGCCACCCATCTTCTGATAGAACCGGGATACCGTTGGCCTTCCAGGCTGCAAACGCATACTGCTGACTCATTACATTTTTAATCAACTGGAACCCTAAGTCCTTCTCAGCAGGGTTACTCTCAAAGAGTTCTCCCAGTTTGTATACATATCTGGGATTACCTTTACCCAAGTGCAAAACCTTGCCCTTTGCTTTGTTGAACAACAAAGCTAGTATATACTGGAGCACCCTGGGGAGAAAAAAAAAAAAAAAAAAAAAAAAAAAGAAAGGTGCATATTCACCTCTTAAACTACTTGTGCATTTCTTGCATCTGTTGTATCTGTTATTTTCAAAAATGGATACAGCTGATTTGAAAATTTAGATTGGGAAGTTCCAGAAATCAGAACTGCTAGTCAAGCAGGAGTGAGAGAGCAGAGTGGAAAAATCTCGGCAGCCTCTTGTCCTGCCCGTGGTGATCAGGAGTGCTGGTGAGTCTTGCTCTGCTGGAATTGTTCTGTCCCCTGTAGTTGTCTGTGGTAGTGCATGGAAGTTTGGGTTAAGTATATTTCAGTAGTTTTTACTTTTACTATTAAAAAAAAAATAAGTAAATCATTGAGTAACTAGAAAATTGAATTTGAAGAAAATGAATGCGTTGTTCAAACACCAGAGGGTGCCACAGTCTCACTTTTCAGCCACTATAGCCAAATCTGTAACATAGGAAGTACATCTGCATTGCTTGAACATATTTCTCCAGTTGAGTATTCAATTTGAATGTCAAATATGACTCCATACAGGATAACATTGACAGCAGAGCATTCTGTTTTATTGTTTGTTCTGACAACTTTAATCACTGGAGATCTGTAACAGCTAGGAGAGTGTTTCTTGTTGACCTCTGGATGTGATATGAGCAAATGCAGAAAAGTATTATTGGCTGTGATAAAGATGATGGACTTTGTGGAGGTTTGCTGAAGATGAAAGCAAGTCAGCAGCTAACCAAACACCTCCATGTGTGTTCTAGAATATTTTTCATTTATCACTTTACTGGAACGGTTTTAATAGGTCACTCTAAATACATGGTACAATGCCTAAAATGATTGAGTTTTGTTAAAATAACAAGATGAAATGAACACTAAAGAGTGCAGACTTCATTTGGCTTCTGAAACTTATGTTATTTGCTAGTGAGCACTATTGCTAGGGAAATTTTGTGGTGCATTCTTTGAAGCTAAGTAAAATAGGTGCAGCGGTGTTTTTCTAAATGCAAAAGAATCTTTCATCAAAGCTAGTAACTTAATGCAGTCTTATGTCTGCAGTAAAGAAGTTAGAATTGGTCTTCAGAACCAGCATGGGTAGAGATGGCTACTTGTGCATGAGTTCTCATGCGTGTGCACTCATAAGAGAGATTATGATTGAAAATATAGAAAAAAAATAGTTACTTGATAATGTGAGGTGAAACATAGAATTGTAGCTAGATGTATAGTCCAAAAGGTTACTTGTTGCCTTCTTGAGTATTTGGAGTATGTAGCCAGATTAAAAACTGAAATGGTATAATAGTTTACCTGTGCTACAAGCATCCTAATGTAGACTCCATAAACAAGGGTCCTTTTTTTAGTGCGATGAATCTGAGGCACAAGCCTGGTCAGGACGCTATGTCTAGGTAAGACTTAACGTACGAAACTGATTTGAGAATCTGTTGGTCTCCTTTTCCCTAAGCAAATTATACAGAAGCTGTCTGGCATGCAAGTATACAAATGAAAGGCAGGAAGGGTAGGGGAAGGCTGGATTAATTTCCTTGCCTCCTCTTCATAATATTGCGGGAGAATTCTTACACCATAGAATGCCATTAAAGTCTGAAAAAGAAAAATCTATAATTTAAGGAAAAACAAATATCACTTTCTTGCATCTTTTGAGCATCACTAAAACCCAACCCATTTTCCAATAAATTCAATTTATACCTATTGCTAATCAGAAAGCATTCTCCAAGAGATCCCATTTCATCTAGGAATAGGAAGTTTCTGACCTGCTCCTGATTCAAGAGTTATTTAGGCAATACAGTGCTTTCTGAAGGTGGACTTCATCAGAGAACACCTTTGCAAAGACTCCTTTTTCTCAAATCAAAAGATGTTCAAATTGAGTGTTTCCAACAGCTTATCTGAATTAATACTGCTGGCTTCTATTCTAAACCCTCGAAGCCAACATTACAGCCTTTGTCACTTTGTGAAACAAAAAGGCTTTCTCTTTATGATCTAAAGCTTTCTGAAAATAACTTGAATTGTTTCATTGCAAAACTTCTCCAAAAATTTCACATACGAGATTTATTAAGTATTTTAGCTTACAAGATCGATCTTAAAGCTGAAACATGCTAATTATTTGCTTAATGTGGGCTTTACCATGATGGCAGGGAGCTCTAGCTTTGTTAGTCCAAAACATGCCACAGTTGGATTTTTGAGCTTCAACAGAATCCAGCTTACAAGGGAATGCTGAGAACTAGATCTCTGCCACTGTTCTTCAGAAGTGTCTGCACGTGGTGTGGAGGATGCCACATGCTGTACAATAGGGCTGACTCAGAGAGGAAGATCTGAGTTGATTGTAGTGAGGCAAGAAGGGAACTCTGAAAAAAGAAGTAGAAATCAGCTTTGTGCCAATACGCTTTTCCTGCTATCTTCAGTTTGTAGGACAGGCATATCTGTTAGAAAATTGCCTTGCTTATAGTTTAACAAATGTTCAACTTTATTCTACACTTGTTGCTATTCAGTGAATTGTGTTTTTATAACAAATTTCAATTTAACTTGTGACTTTAATAACTCCAAGAGGAACCTTGACTTCTGAATAATAAATACCGCTAATAAATACCACTGCTGTAAGATCAGTGGTGGAGATGGGGAATCTCATGGGAATTTTAAACCGTGGTTTACCTCAGCTCTTTGTTTACAAGGTTATTCAGAATTTAAGTTTCTTCTAAAGAATTTGCATACCTAGCAACTGAGACATTAGTCAAACTAACATTTGAGAAACTTGAATGAATCGTGAAGGCTTGTTGTGAGGCTTCTTTACCTAAACACTTCCACACCAAAAACCTGTAGTATAGAGGTAGCCTCCAAAATATGTGAACATACTTGTTGATAGAAGCGCCCTTTTCTTTGTATCCATTCTGAATGAAGCATAAAATGTTGTGTTTCTCTTTAGAAGAGATGAAGATGACATAAATGATGTGACTTCCATGGCTGGAGTCAACATTAATGAAGAGAGTGCATGCATTCTGGCAACAAATTCAGAGCTCATTGGTACTGTGATCCGCTCTTGTGCAGATGAACCTTTTCTGTTTTCTGAAGCACTTCAGAAGAAGATTTTGAACATCGGTGAGAATAAAACATGTGATTAGTATGTGTTGATGTAGTGTGCCCTTGCCTCTTTCATTAGCCAGACTCTCGTCTTTGAAGGAGTCAGAACTCTAAGATCTGTCAACTTCGTTCATGTGTTTCTACTGAATCTATCGACCCCTTCTAGTAGAGAAATAATCTTCAATTTCTTTTTTTTATGTAGAAGATTGAAGCGCAATAGGAGAGAAGACAAACTGGTGCCACTTTTACTTACAAGAAGTTAGCTACTACTACTCTTACATTTAGTGGAGTACATAAAAAACATACAGATGTTAATTTCACATGCTGAAGTATGCTTTTCTATTCCTGCAGCTCCTAATTGGATACATTAAATTGACTTCTCTAAAAACATGTGCATTCCTTAGCCGGTTGGGGTTGTATATATTCTGCTGACCAAGGTTGCAGATCCTGCCCCTGTGGTTAGGAAGAAATTTCATGCTGCTGATAGAATCACAGAATTGCTCAGGTTGGAAGAGACCTCAGAGATCATCAAGTCCAACCTCAACCATACTAACCTAACTCTAACAACCCATCACTGAATCATGTGCCTGAGCACCACATCTAGACAGTTTTAAAACGCATTCAGGGATGGTGACTCATCTACCTTACATGCACAGGGCAGGCTTTTGCTTATGACTCCCTCTATGGAAAACTCTTTCATTGAGTTGCATACAAAAGGGGATGTTAGTTATCTGTCTGTATGAGTGGATAATACTGTGGAATGTATGTTATGTCAAAGCAGGGAGTGGAGCGTGCATTTGTATAGCACCGCATTGTTTACAGCAAGCTGGATATTTTTCAGTGCCTTATTCCTGTTCCCTGCTTGGTAGCTTGCCATTCTGTAACAGTGAGTTTAGCAGCTCAGCATCTATAATATAAAGCCCTCAGTTCATATGTGCAGCCATAATTCAAGCCATAATACAAGTGGTCTTGTTACATGATCAGAAAGACTTCCTGTTTCTATGTGCAACTTATTCCCAGTCCAAGCAATGCAACTAGCTTGTGAAAAGCATGTATCTTGCAAACTCTATATGCTGCCATCCTATACTTCATACTCCATGTACTCCACACTGGCACAGATCTGCAGTTTGAACTACATAGGGTATGGTTTAGTGAAGGTAGTGCTGTGTTACTAATTGAAAGGGGAATATATATGTTGGAACTAGAGCATAGAAGCTTTTCTCATAGTTTAGTAGAAGGTTATCTAGTTATCCAGGCAGTACACATAAGGAAAAACAGAGCTCTAAAAACCAAAAACAAAGCAAAACAACAAAAAAAAAAAAACCCACATGCTTGTACAACAACTGTTTTGTGGTGTTCAAATAGCTTACTTAAAGATGGAAAACATAAATACAACTCTTTCAAGACTTGCATGATAGCTGTTGCACGTTTATGACATGAATTATTATTAATGAAAAATGTTTTGATAGTGAGGCAAGGAGTACTGTCAGGGATTACAACAACTTAGAAAATAAATGCTTCTGTTCCTTAGCTGAGATCCTTCTTCTGTTCAGGAAGTGTATGTGGAGGGTGGTTTTGAGGGTTGGGGGAATTTAGTTCTGGTCTTAAACTGAAGTTTCATGTGTCCTGATTGTCTAGTGGTAAATTATGGAGGAAGCATTAAAAGATGCTTGAGCAAAATGTGCTTTGCACTCAACTGAAGTACAGTCTAATATTTACCATGTGAATTCAACAGGGGGAACATTTTGATCATAGTGTGGGAAAACATTGTAGATTGTCCCCGACTTGCTACTCTAACTGAAAATATATAATAAAGGCAGATGAAATAGGTGATTAGTTTTTTACAGTGTACTGTTTATCCATTCTTAACACTTCACTTGGCAATAAATACCAAAATGGATTTTGAATGCTATTACGTATTGCATCATAAAGTCTTAACAGCTATTGCAAATGCTATGAGGGGCAAGGAAAAGAGCTTCTGGTAGGTACTGTGCAGAAAGTGTGTGAAAGCACTGTCAGCCTTACCCACAAGGCAGTGCTTTCCAGGTGTCCTGATGGAGCTGCACTGTGTCAACCACAGGCGTGCTGCTCCATTGCAGCCTGCAGGAAGGTGCGAGGTAGCATCTCACCCTGAGCATGGGGTCCAGGCAGCCTCAAAAGCAGCTGCTGAAGTACAGAGGAATAGCAATTCTTGTCAGTGAACAGGGAGAGTGGTGTCAGCCAGAGAGAAATGGGTTGAAGGCACGATGACCCCAGTTGGTTTATGTCTTTGTTTTTAAAGCTTCTACCTTAGGATAGTTGGGTCAGTCTGCTGTGGACTGGTTGGTCGAGGTAGGTGAGAGGATGCCTGGGTCTCATATGCTTGGAGAGCACTGCGAAAATCTTCCCTGTTCATCGAATAAATGTGATGAGTTGTTAACAAGTGTGGTGTCAAGCAGGGCAAAATGTAATTCTCTATTTTTTTTAATTACTGAAATTAACAGAATATGGCACTAATTTCTACAGCTACCACATCTCCCCATCCCTGAACATGAAGCTTGATTTGTGTTCTTATTAACTTTGTCCTATAAATGACCTTGCAAGGAGAGTGATTCTAGAGGCTAAGTGAAACAATGTCTATATTTTCTGAAGCTCCAGGCTAAGTTTTATTAATGTAGTGTCTAAGATCTTTGAAGTTGTGACTTTACCAGGAAAATCATAATCTCCAAACCTTTATTCATAATGGGTATGACTTCCAGGGGGAACAGAATACCTGCTGTGCTAATTATTTCAATTATCAGCTACTACTAAAACACGTAATGGATTTTCTCTGCTTCCACAGGTAAAAGGCATGACATTATGGAACTTAACTCTGATGTTGTGAACTTGATCTCCCATGCTACACAGGAGAGATTACGAGGGCTCCTAGAAAAACTAACTGTAATTGCTCAGCACAGAGTATCAACCCATAAGGTAAAGGAAATCATTAAGTGAGTTTTGTGCCAAAGTTTTCCTGCTTTACCGCCTTCAAGCTAAACTTCTTCCAAGCATAGGTACATCATATGCAATATGTGATTCTTTTCAGTGTCTACCGAAGGCTGATTTTCTTTAACTGTTTAATAGCCTCTAACTATTCTTTATACTTTCCATTCAACTTGTTAGATAAGCACTCTTAAAACCAAATGTAAATGCATTTGTAGTTTTCTGTAGAAATGGTGGCTGTCATGTAAAAATCTCCCTTTTACATGGTAAACATAAAGCTATTGGTCGTTAGATTGATTTAGGGGCTTGCATTTGCTTATTTTGTTTGCTGCTGATGGAACCATGGTACTTCTTAGCAAAAGGCCTGGAGAATTTGAGTGTTTTATTTTCAGTTCCATGTGAAAGTAGAGACCCTTTGATGTTAGTCTCAGGGATTTTTGTACCTCCAGTGTTACTGAAAACCTCCTCCCTGTAGTATTAACTTCACTGAGTGTGAAGGAGGTCTGATATCATTGAGCCAGTGTGGTACGAATAGGAAGCATTAACTTACAAAAGACCAAGCTAGCACTTTGAGACTTTTCTTTACAAACAAAGGTATGAATTTTTTTTTTTTTTTCAGTATCAAACAGGAACTTTATTTCAATATAAAAAGAGCAATCAACTGACAGGATAGGAGTTATTTTTTTAATAGAATCCTTTTTATAGGCTTCTAGATAATGAAGAAGCAGTATTAAAGAGCAGGAACTGTTTGGAAAATTTGAAGTATTATAATGACATCCCAAGCAGCTGAGCATGCCATTCCTTGCCAGAAGAGTTTTTAAAAAATTCAGTGCAGAAGATGTGTACAGTTTTTATGAGAAAACTTTGTTCTGTGTTGTCTTCAAAGGAGGCAATGCAGTGTATCTGTGAGCTGAAATGAGGTGGAAGCTGAAGTCTTGAGGGGCTCTGGTAGCACTCAGTGCCTTGTAAATGCCAAAGATGGCAAGAGGGTTTTTTTGGACAGTGGGCTTGGAGAGACTGATTTTCCTCAATGAAAACAGAGGGAAATCTGGTTGGTTTTGATATGATTGAATTGCCAGAAGAGAAGATAAGATCGTATGATTGCAATAAACTTCTTCTCAAAAAAGAAAAGAAAAAAAAAAAGAGGAAAAAACTGTACTGGTCATGATGATCTTAGAGGTACAGGTGCCCTTTTTCAGTAGGAAGGTGGTATTAAATTACAGGTGAATACCCTGGAAGATTGCACTTGTGATTATTCTCACATGAATAATACTGCAAATATGCTGATAGGCTTTTAGAAATCTATGTTAAAGAGCAGAACACTTCAGGGTCTTAGTGCACTGGTATGTATTTGTATAGGCCTGTATTCTATCTCCCCCAGTGCTTGCCACTGCTGTCTTTTATCCCTCTAGGCTATAGACTCTGTGGACTCCATGCATTTCAGAAAATCATCCAGACACTTTACATGAGGGTTGGATAGTTGCCCCCCAGGGCTTTTTATTGGCTTATATTCATTAGAAAAAGAGAGTATCGTGACAGATGTGGTGAAATCAAGGTAACTATACTAGGGTAGAAGCTGTTGTGAAAGTTAGTAATTCATGGGTTAATACCAAGGAGACCTTTTGTATTGTGTTAGGCTTGTGCCTAGCAGCTTTCATCTGATGACTAGCCTTTCAAAGAGATTTGGCAGGTTAAAGGCTTTGTATCACAGCTTGCTACTGTGTAGACTTTCCCACTTTTGCCATTTTTTGCTTAAAAAGAAAAGAAAAAGAAAAGCCACGCACTTAATTGTAATTGTAAGTTACTAATTTAATTAGTGTTGAACTGTTATGGTGATCTGTATCCAAAGCAGGGAATAGCCTTTTAAATTGCTATAAGCTGATGTCTGTTCTGCAGCTCTTATTGCGATTCCTTGAGAAAGGCCTAGTAAGACAATAAAGACAGTCAGCTAAATGGTTCCATTCCTCAGCTGCTTCTCTTCTGTGATCTGGAGAGCTGCTGAGGTATGAGTGTGCCTGTGACATCATATGACAGCCAAGACCAGAATTAATAGTGACAGCTAAACTGTGTAGTGATTAAAAATGTTTTTGTTGTGGATTGGGTTTAGCACAGCATCAGACAACTGTTCTGTGTTTCCTGTATTTGTAGCCATGAACTCCTGGCTTTGAGAGTTGTATGCTGTTGCAAACCTGGTTTAATGACAACATTGTCTTAGTGTGCAGTATCAATGAAGTATGGCAGCCTAGACCATCCTGTCAGTATGGCAATATGATGTTGCAGCTCCTTTGGTTAAAGGGGTAAACTCTGCTGTAAATGCTCCTTGATGTGAAAAGTGTCAGCATTCCTTTTCTTCTTTTCTTTCCCTTGCCCCCTGCCCACCTCTAACCCATCAAACTGCAGAGAGAAGTAACTCCTGAGAGGTTTAGAGACTTTTCTGCTTTTAACTTGGCTTAGGTAAAGCTGAAGCTCAATAAGTTCCCACAGAGTAGCTGATCCTCCGTAACCTCTTGTGTCCGTACTCTGTCCTCAGCAAGGCTTTTCAACATGCTTTAAATTGTTCAGCCCCTGGAGAAGAACTGTTCTGTGTGGGATTCTTCCAGCTTCACTCCTGGAGGACTGAAAAGAACGAAGCTTCCGCATGTGTGTTTTTTTTTTGTGTACCTCTTGACATAAAATACTTTCCTAGTACCAAACTGGAAATACCTTAGATTTCAAATTCATTTAGAAGTACATGACAGTCTAGAAAGGAGCTTACAAACTGTGAACAAGGTGTACAGCTTTCCCTTTAATTTGTAGTTGGATGTTCTCACATATTTAGGCATGCTCTGTATTGTGGTTACTTGCATTACTTGTCACTAACTTAAATCCTCAGATTCTCTCCCTAATTACAACCTGTGTGTAACTTCAGTTTTTGCAGGGGTCACACTACTGTAGGTGAGGTCTGTCTGGCCTTGTGTGAAGAAATTCATCCATTTATATGAACAAAAACTAATCCAGCTTCCTTCCTCATAACAATAGCGGTTACGAGGTATGTGCAGGTATAGCACATATACAATGTAGCGTTTTCTGTCTAAGCAATTACAGTGCTAACAGAAAACAGAATAAGCTTGTTGCATAGAAAGGACAAAATGTAACTGGAGGTTCTTAAGAAACTTCAGACATTTTAAGCCTCTGTTATTGAGTAAAAATTGTGTAAAATAAATAAATAAATCCTCCTAGTTCTTGTCCCCTATGGCTTTATGATACTGCATCGGGGTACTTCTCATTGGGTGGCTTGCATCACTAATTGGCATCGAGTCTTTGATTGGACTTTAAAAATGTAATCATCTAACCCTGGCTTTCAACATTCCAGAATGAAGCGTTTCTAAACTTCAAAAAATAATCTTCTGGTAATATGGCTTTCTTCTTTGTCCTGTTAAAAGGATTGCAGCATGGTGGTGGATTATAAACTACTGCTCCAAAACAAATTGTACTTGTGCTGAGGCTGACTCATGGAGTGTGTGTTTTGTGGGGAGCAGTAAAAAGTTGAGAGCAGTAACAAGAGGGAAGAGAAAGGCTTGTCAGACTGTTTTGCAGAACCACAGACTCTTCTTGAGAAGGACAAAGTCTCCTTAGTTGCAACACATGGTGTGGTCTGAGCCACAATTGGTGATACGTGACAATGTGGTGGCTCACTGAAAAGAGCAAACAGAATACAAGAAGAGGGATTGATTTCATGCTTTGTCTGAATTGTGAGAATTGAGTTTGGAAGACAGCAGTGACTCACAATGTGACTTTTACTTTTCTTCCAACTTTTAGAAGTATATGAGTGTGGGAAGAAGGGTCTGAGTATACTGTGTCTGAAAACTTAAGTGTTTGGAAATTGAAGTCACTGATAATTTATATATGTAAAGTACACCCTCCCTTAGAATATACCTGTAAAACATCCTGTGCTTGTTCCATAAGAATTGCATGTCAGAGTTGCTTCATTTAAGAGTGAGATTGGATGGAGTATAAGGAAGGATTGCTGAAAATACATATGTTTGGTTGCTAAAAGCCTAAATATAAATGTATCAGGAAAAGAGAAGATCACAAAATAATAGAGACAGAAAACTCTAGGATGTACATTAGAGTGGTTTAAATAAGTATCTTGATTTGCTTGATGTCCTTTGTTCGATGTGTATATTTCAACACCCAGTGCAGAAGAGCAGCAGTAAAAAATAGATTTTCATGGCTGACAAAGTTTTAGATCTTTCCTTCTGTTGTTCTTCCTTTCGAGACAAGCTAAATCTAAGTTACTTAGTCTTTCCAAAGGGGAAAAAAATGATAAGAAAAGCAAACTACTGATTGCTATCTGTTTATATCTATGTACATACTAAAATGATTGTAGTCTTGTTTCAACACATACATGTTCAGTTAGTGTTACAACCAGTCAATAATATTCATTTGGCCCAACTTTGAGCTGGACATTGGACCAGGTGACTTTACAGATCACCTCTCAACATAAACTATTCCGCGATTTGAAAGCATCCCCTGATGCAGAAATATATATTTCTGCAGCTACAATAAATTATGTACAATCACCTCACATTCCCCACCACAAAATTAATGTAACCAGTTTTATTCCCCACCAGGCAAGGTTTATTTCAAGATCTGGATTAAATGGCAAAAACTTCAAAAGTTTGGGTCTTGTGTTTTTATCCACTGTCTTTAAATGGGAAAGTATGATGATCTCTTCTCAGTTCTGTTCTTTTTCCTCTTAATAATCCATCCAGAAGACAATCTTGTTTGTTTACTGGTTATGAAATTTATGATAGCCTTTCATAAAGACTACAATTCTAATATTATTATAGTCAATAGACAGTAGAATGAGGTGTTAATTTTGTCAATTGCTCCATAACCTCTTGCTAGTCACAGATCCAAAGAAGCATGCTTGAGTAGAGAGGAGATACCACCTGAAGTCTTTCTAAAGCATCTTACATTTCTCAGCTTGAGAAAACAGCATTATTTTCAGGCTGATTCCATTAATTAGCTCTAGTGGTGTATAAAAGGTCCTGTTCTCTTTTCAGGGGAGTGATACATACATTGTATCTAGTGACACCAGAGCACAGCTAAAATTTCTTGAAAAGCTTGATCACCTAGAAAAGCAAAGAAAGGATGAAGAGGAACGTGAAATGTTGCTACGAGCAGCCAAGGTAAGAACATCATTTCTTGCTTTTCAGAGCTGAAACACTGGCCTTATAACTAGTCTTTAATGTTTAGGATAACTCAAACCATACAGAAAAGGGTTTTAGGCTTTTTACATTCTTCTAAAAACCATAGGAATTCTTTCAGGTAAGTAGGTAAGGAATTCTTTCAGGTAAGAGTGAGCTCTTCTTTTGATTATTCCTTCTGGACAAAATGAAATAAAAGTAATATTCGCATAGCCATAAACTTCATTTATGGCTCAGTTTTGAGTTCAAAAAATGCCCTTGTCCTTCTCCACACCTGAAATTTGGGGAGATTTGCTGCCCTGACAGGTATATTTCTTTTCTGTAGTTAGATCAGAGAGTTCAACTTTGAGCTGGTACACTTCTGAGAATCTGAGCATCTGAGAATCAGAACAGAAATAAGTATCCTTCCCACTTCCCTCCCAACAAGAGCAGAAAAGAAAACAAGCAAACAGCAACAAAAAAACCCCAACAAATCAGTAGATCTTGCACAATCACATGAGACTCGATCCTCTCCTTTTTTGTTGTTTTGTTTTTGAGCTGACTTCTGGATCCCCTTGGGTGGAAATGTAATCCAGACTGGAAAAAATCAAGTTGTACTTGCAGAAGTACAGAATTATGACTCCTTTTCTTTCCTGCACTTCCTGTCCTTTGTAAGTGTCTGCTGCTGACATGAACAGCATCATGCCTAGACTGGACCTGACTGACATAGTTAGCATCATTTTCAGTTTAATCTTGCTTCAGGCTAGAGCAGAGGCAGCCAGCCCAGATGGGGGGAGGGGGAGGGTAGGGTGTATGTATGTGGAGGGGGAGGGGAGCCAGTCTGGATTGAGGCATTCGCCCCTGGAGCGAAATCTTTCAATCACAGGAGAAAATTGTCATTTATTAAATATTTAATGTATGTATGCTATGGTGTTTGGATGCTAGTAATTCCTATTCAATCTTTTTCTTGTTCCTTTGGTAGAGCCGTTCCAATAAAGAAGATCCAGAGCATCTGCGTTTAAAGCAGAAAGTGAAAGAGGTAGGTCTTTCAAGTTACCATGCTTGCCTTTGTGTGCTGAGAGAAGGTTGGCAGCCCTGTCCTGGCAATTAGGTCAGGGTTTATTTTGCTGTTGCATACCATTTGCAGAGGCCTTGGGGAAGGACAGGAACTGCTACAGGCAAGGGCAGTGCTTTAAACGAGGTCAATGAGTTATGAGATCTCTTTCAACATTTTATTTTCGTAGTTCTAGTCTTGTTTAGAAATGGCTCTTTGTAAGCTACAGCAATACACTTGGTAGGAATATAATGTGGGATTAGAAGAAAAAAAAAAAGAAACTTTGAGATTTAGCATCTGGGACTGTACAATAGGCTACATTTTTCCAGGGTAATTGTTCGTTTTGTAAATCTGATACTGCTTATAATTCTTTGGCTGGGAGGCGGTACTGGGATTTAGTTTAAATGGAAAACGCCTCTGGCTTTTAATTTTCTGGGCCCAGCAGTTTTCTGTTCTGGAATGGAGCCCTTGTTTCACACAGTTCATGTTTAGCTGCAGGGGTTTTAGTTTATAGCTTAGACTGGTTAAGCTTTTACTCCCAGAGGCCTCTGCATAGCAACTGTAGAAATCAACAAATAAGTTCATTTATGTCTGCAGCCTCCTCTCAGTAGCTGACTTTTTACATTTCCCAATATCCATTTCCTGACTTTTCTAGCCTGAGAGAAAAAAGCTCCACTAATTGGAGCTTATTTTAATTGAGCCTTAATATTGGATCTCACTGGAGTTGCCCCCAGAGCTACTGGGAACAGAATGAAATGAAAGTACCTAAGGTTGAAGATGTGTGTGTATGTGTGTGTGAAATTTTTCACTTGACCTACAGATTCTTTTCCCTGCTGAATAAATCATCAAGCCTGTTCACATTTCTGATTAAGGATCTGACAGCAGATGATAATAAAGACAATTGAGGTGTGAGACGTGTGATACAGAGCTGAAGAAATTGGTTTCTATAGTTACTTGACTGATTTCATGCAATTTTTAAGGATCTTTGTGCTAAATGAGTGTGATTTTCTGAGCAACCTTTTTCCTTAACTGTGCCTCTTGAACTATGAAATTTGTTGTTGCTTAACATTGCTGCACTTGGCTCCTAGGTGCCAGGAGCAGCAGCAGGTTATTTATGAATGCTTTAAAGGCCCTTATTGTTTGGATTAATGTAGGAGCTGAGGCAAAACAAATGGAAATCCAGTAAAATAGTATTAGAATCAATGCTCTGGATTTGCACCAAAGTAGAAGAAATTTGTAAAATGAGAGAAAACTTGCTTTACTATCTATCTTTTAATTCCTTTTCCTTCCTTACAACTCCTTTTTCATGCTTACAGAATAATCAGCCAGTACAGAAGTTGCCTTAAAGCCCTTTCCAGTTTCCCTCGTTGCCACCAGGTTCAACAATCAGTGGGTAAACGCTGATTTGTCTTGTAGGTGGCCTTACTTCTAGATCATATGATTGTTTTTGTAGTTTTTTTATTGAACCACTGCAAACCTGCATTTTAGCAATTAGTTTATGCAACTACTTTTCTCTTTGCCTTTGAACAATAGCATAGAGGGTCTTGGAAAATATTCCATGACTCAAGATATTTAGAAGGAGGAAACTTAACAGTGTACTTTGGTTCTTCTAGGTATACAAAAAAGTAGCCAACAGAGTGGAGAGGACTGCTTGAGTATAAAATCCTCTAGTTCATATATCTTACGAAGACATATACAGGAAAGATATCTTTCCTATATCTTATCTTGTGCTGGATTAGCACTGCCTTAATCGTGCTTGTCCTGCGTTTTGTCTGTGCTTTGCCAATCACGGAGTGGTCTCCAACTGCTTCATCATAGGAAAAGCAGGCAGATACGCCACTGTAGACAATGAAGATCTTTTCATGGGTATTGCCTTACCCTCTGCTCTCCTGAGTATGGGGCAGCCAGAACTCACCAGATTTCATGAGCAGTGCAGGAGACCCACCTTCTTGGTGCTTTCTTTTGTCTGTTTCAAGGTTAAGTTGTAAGGAGCCCACATGAAACTTGTCAGTCTTGACACTTTATTGATGGTTAGCTCAGTACAAAAATGCAAGTGCAAGTAGGTCTGCAATAAGAGCAAAATTGAAATTAACAAACATCCTAAACCTAAAACTAGTGTAGGATGTGCTGGGATGAAAGCCTGAAAAGGCTCACCATTGTCATTCTTACTGCTCAAGCTATGAGTGTAGCCTGTTCCTAGCAAACCAAAGGTAGGAATTGCAATTCCTTTCTCAGCTGGAATCGAATCCCTTCCAGGCAACTGTGGTTGAGTATCCACTAGAAAGGCTAATCTAATTGTCCCTTTGTAGGTCTTAAAGAATGAATATGGGTCTTCCTTCTTCAGAGCTATCTTCTGTATGCTAATGGTGACCTGCTGGGACTAGGGAAAGACTGTGGGGTAATGGCACTGGACATTCTGGATGTTTTCTAAAGCAGTGTTTCCCAAAATATAGGGTGTATATTGTAACAATGAATACTTTTAAATCCAGGATGTACTGTCATCCAGTAGCTGGGGGCAGCTTCTTGAAATTGCTAGAAGTGCATCCAGAGACTTGGTAGTGGATTCTTTTATCTAAAAGACTATACATAATTGCTGTGACCTTCTTGTCCTTTTTCGCATGACCTATTACCTAAAACTTCCCTTATGCTAAATCATTTGTTTTGCTATATTCTTAGGCTACATAGCTGGCTATGAATTAAGTCTTTGACTTCTCCCTTTCACCTGTTTCAGCAAATTTTAATAACTACAGAAAGTGCACATTCTTTCTGAGACAGCTGCTAGGCTTGCCTGAAGCTGCTCCTTTATCCACTCAGGGATTTTGTCCTTACCTCATAGGCCAGCTCTTTGTATAACTGCATTTCCAAAGCCTGGATGAATTGCCCCTGCTTTTCATTCACCCTTAGCTGCAGGTTCAAACTGAGAGAGATGCAGTCCTTGCTCTGTCCTTGATGCTTGTACTTTTAAAATTCAATTTTTTTCAGGTGCTTTCTGATACTTCATATTCTACTTCCAACTATACTTCTAGTTATAAACAATATTCAATTGATGCAATTATTATAGTTGTATTTACAGCTTATTTCTAGCTTCCTTTCTTTTTCTGAAAGGAGACCACTTAAGTAAGTGTAGGATGCTATCAAGTCAGCAAGCATGGTATATGCATAGTACATCAAAGATGACCTGTAAAAATGGCAGTATGCATCAGTGTACTGTAAACTTAAATACAAACTCTGATATTTTTTTTGTTTTTGTCATCTTGAAAAGTGAGTCTGTTTGTACTACAGCTGTAGGAAGTTTAAGGTGGAAACTGGGCAAGCCATTCGGATTTTGTGTGTGCAAGAGTGCTTCTTCACGTTAAGCAGGTGAGCAAGTATCATACTGATAGCATCTTTGTTTAATCCATATTAGTGGCCTTCACCTCTGTTCTTACCTTGATGCACCCTGCAGTGAAAAAGGTGAGCAGCTGCATATTGAACAAGGGGAAGAGCACGTGGAGTGCCTACATGATGATAAACAGCAAACTTGCTTGCTTCCTCCCTGGCTGTTCTGGCAACTTTGTATTCTGATGACTTCACAGGTCTTTCTAGTTCTTTGTTCCTACAAGTTATTTTATTATGATTTTGGTTCAGATGTTAAAAGATGGCAGCAGATGAGATACTGAGAAAATTCAGTTCACCTTTCTCATTAACTGTTTTGGAGGAAAAGATTGAACACTACTTTTCTGTAAAGACAAAATAAACCCCACAGAAAACACTGAAGTCAGCATGATTCCAGTGCATTCCTGGGAGTTATCTAATGGCTGGAAATGCTGTTGTTCTGTATTATCTTTTTTCAAAAATCATCTCACTTTATTTCGTGTGTCCATCCTAACTCTTTCTTTCTCCCCTCACGTTCTCAAATAACTCTAACTCAATTCTTCTCCCTACCATCTCCATCTCTCAATTTTCGAGCTATTGAATTGTTTCCTTTCCTACCCACAACTCTTCTGCTGCTTCTATATTTAGTTTTCTGACTCTAACAGTTGGAATTCTGTAAGACTACTCTTGTGGCAGGATAAAATAAAATTCTTCAGTTTCCTTTCCAGTGCAAAAAAGCAAATAAGATGTCATTGCCATAAATGGGCTTTTCATGAGCTTTCATTGACTTCCTGAGATCTTCAACTTAATTACCTGATTTATATTGTCTTTATTTTTCTGTGGTGTTTCTTACCTGCTTCTGTGGTATTTGAAAAAGCATGATTATCGAATAGGCATAATTGTTTGTTGGTTTTTTGGTGGTGTTTTTTTTTTTCCCTGCAATAAGAAAAAGATTTTTTGAACACCTTCAGGGATGGTGAGTCCGTTGCCTCCCTGGGCAGCCCATTCCAGTAGTTGACCACTCTTTTGGAGAATAAATTTTACCTAACATCCAACCTGTATCTCCGCTGATGCAACTTGAGGCCATTCCCTCTTATCCTGTGACTAGTTATATTGGAGAAGAGGCTGACTCTCAACTTGCCACAACTTCTTTTGAGGCAGTTGTAGAGTGGTAGGGTCTCCCCTGAGCCTCCTGTTCTCCACGCTAAGCAATCCGAGTTCCCTCAGCTGCTCCCCTCAGACCTGTGCTCCAGACCCCTCACAGTTTTGTTGCCCTTTTGTGGACGTGCTCAAGAGCCTCTATGTCTGTCTTGTAGTGGGGCGGCCAAAACTGAGCACGGTACTCCAGATGCAGCCTCATCAGGGCTGAGTACAGGGGGATGATCGTTTCCCTGCTTCTGCTGGCAACACTATTTCTGATACAAGTCAGGATGCCATTGGCCTGCTTGGCCACCTGAACACACTGCTGGCTCATGTTCAGCTGAGTATC